ACACCGACGAAACACAGGGGAATTACTGCTGCAGCATTATCTGACGGTGGACAACTGACATGAATGGGTGAAAAACTACCGCACACACAGGTGCTGATGCCCACTGCCCTACTGAAACCTGTCAGATGTCACCATTCAGACGTTCCTCTTTAATCCAGCACCATTCAGGAAGAGTGTGTTGCTCCCTACATACACGCTCCCCTATCCCCGAAGTCGCACCAACCTCTTCTTTACCATTCAGGAACTTATCAAAAATAAAAAGAACCAAGGACCTACAGGTTACGCTATATCCTTGGCTCTCAATCCGAGTCCATTTAGAAACCAGTGTCATTGTTCTCGTTATGCCCTTTGCAGCAGCATCTTGAAGGCATATCTTGAAGGCATATCTTGAAGGCACATCTTGAAGGCACATCTTGAAGGCACATCTTGAAGGCACATCTTGAAGGCATATCTTGAAGGCATATCTTGTTAGTAATGCAGCACCCTGCCTAATCCAGCAGACATTCCGTAGCACAAATGATGGCGGATTCTAAAGTGGCCACTGTTCATGTACATGCTATTGAGTGAGAACAGCGACTGGGAAACTGTAGAAAGGAGAAGGGACACTTGGATACAAGTCACGACTCTAACTGACCACCACTGCACTGTAACTAGATAAGATGATCAGTCAGAAAGTGCGACAAGCGGACGACCCCAACCTGACCGAGCACTGAACACATGCAAAGACCGAGGTGGACAGCTGCTCAAAACTTGTATCCATGTGTGCCTTGAATACCTTCTCCTTTCCACAAGCACCAATGGCGCAGTGTCCGAGTTGACCAGGATAACTGTACTGAAACCTGTCAGATGTAGTAGTCAATACTAGTCATTGCATGTTATCATGACTACTGACTACCCGCCAACAGGAACACTGTACTGAAACCTGTCAGATGTAGTAGTCAATACTAGTCATTGCATGTTATTATGACTACTGACTACCCGCCAACAGGATAACTATACTGAAACCTGTACAAGTACAGGTACGAGTGGCAGAGAAGCTCTTGTCTGCAGTGGACACGGAACCTCCACACTACACAGTGTAGTGTCCTATCCTCACGTAAACACACACGGATTTACAAAAGTAACAAAACACAGCCTGCACCAGCACCAGCAACAGCACAAGCACACGCATTAGGGAGGTTCCGGAGTACGATTTTTCGTGCCAAAATCCGTAGAGGCGCTACGGGTTTTTATACGTCGTTTTCGAGCAGTGAAATGTTCCGGAGTACGGAACTTATGTGTTTGCCATCATTGCCCAGGTTACGATCGCAAACACGTCACATTCCCGCGCTATGCCTTTTTATTTTGAAAATTTGTACCGAAATCAAAACTTCCCGCGGAAAATCCATGTTTCTCGTACCAAATTTGTTCGCGAAAAATCTTTCTGCACCCGATGACGCAAAATCTCCATACGAAACATGGTTCGTGTGAAAGCCAGTCCACACGGATTCTCCGTGCCGAAAAATCGTATGGAGCACGCCTGGAAAAAATCCGTAGCGCCCACACGGATTTTGGCACGGAAAATCGTACCCCGGAACCTTTCTATTATCCACAGCGACGTACAGCAAGAACCGGAAACATAGCAAGAAGCTAACAGCCTTGCCACTCACAGCCCACACTGGCACACCAGACTGCTCCAATGACACGGCAGAGAAGGTACTGCGGATACGCCACCTTGGGCGACGCCGAGAGTACATGACAGCATACACGCATGTGTCAGGCATACCTAAGTATGCATTATCGCCTATAGTGATATTTTCACGAAAATCAAACACCAACGCTATAGCCGATCCGTACTGTACATCAGCCCATGAAGCCAAGAGTACATAGTGACAGTACATACCCCCCTGGTATGTGCAGCTCGACTATGGGTGATGTTCCGATAGAATTTCAAGTTGACGTCATTTTTTTATGATGCAATGCACACGGTACACGTACTATCAGACGTATTAGTATCCTGAACCTGTGGTGGACAAAGCCCCATTCAATCCTGTACAAACTAAATTAGTGGAAAGATAAATAAATAAAAAACCATGTGATGCGTTGTACGAATGCCGTAAATCACGGTAAATCACTGGAGCATCGCAGCGCAAAAATGACATCAGCTTGAAATTCTGTAGGGACAGCAGAGAATGCGGGAGTTGCAACCCATCAGAGCTGCGCACGCTGGGTTTTACGTACTGTTGTCGACACAGGCTCACACCTTCAAGCCCTGAACACGCACAAAAACACATTCCGGATATTCTGGCCTCAGAGCCACTGCACTCTTGGACATGTAAACTCGGGTCAACACCACCACTGCAGCTTACAGCACACCCCAACCCGAACTGTCCAAAAAAAATACGATTCGGGTGAGACCCGGCTGGTAGCTGAGTATTCCGCATCCGTAGGAGCGCCACAACCACCCTCAAGGATCAAGGCGCATATGCAGCTCCTAAACGGTGGGAGGTGAGTAGATCAGACCCACCACAAAGTGGCCAAAGACCGAAATCCCATTCACTGCATCCAACTGAACTAAACTGAACAGTCCAAGACCAGCTGAAATAGAGATAACTCGCCTCGACGGGCCAGTGCAACGTATACCCCAGTGCAGCGTTGACCCCGTAAACAATGGTATAACCCCACCCCCACCAGGACAACCAAGACCACGACCACTAGCACTAGCACACACACAGGTTCCTCTTACATCTGCCTATGCCTGTCGGGTCAACTGCCTGACAAGCTTACTAAACTGAACAGTCCAAGACCAGCTGAAATAGAGATAACTCGCCTCGACGGGCCAGTGCAAAGTATACCCCAGTGCAGCGTTGACCCCGTAAACAATGGTATAACCCCACCCCCACCAGGACAACCAAGACCACGACCACTAGCACTAGCACACACCGGTTCCTCTTACATCTGCCTATGCCTGTCGGGTCAACTGCCTGACAAGCTTACTTTCTGCTAGCTAACATGTTAAGGCTCTACCAATGAATTGCATCCGTGGCGCTGTAGTCCGCTACAGGACAGCATGATAATAGAGAGGTTCCGGGGTACGATTTTCCATGCCAAAATCCGTATGGGCGCTACGGATTTTTTTCGAGGCGTGCTCCACACGATTTTTCGGCACGGAGAATCCGTGTGGACTGGCTTTTATACGAACCATGTTGCGTATGCAGATTTTGGGTCATTGGGTGCAGAAAGATTTTCCGCGCACAAATTTGGTACGAGAAACATCGATTTTCCGTGGGAAGCTTTGATTTCGGTACAAATTCAGGGCTCACAGTAGGCATGCAGGATCGACAAAAGCGTCGTGCGAGGGCGGGTTTGGTGCACGTGAGTCGCGTGACCCCGGGAGAGTACCGATCGTGTACATCCCACGCATCCAAAACAGAACAGAGAAGAGAAAGAACCAGAGTTGTACTTGTACTTTTTAGCCTGTTCTCGTAGTTTTAGAGCCGATGTTCGCGATATTTTGGAGGAGAAGGCGAAACGCAACCTTTGCTAGTCCCAGTAAATACAACATGCCATGTTCGACCAAAAGCTGATGCTACAATGAGCGATCGTGATGATTCCACAGGTAAGAAGACAAACAAACGAGTCAGAGCTCGCCAGGCAGGTAACGCCGAGAACATGATGATACCACACGGAGCTGGTGATCGGATGGAGGTGAACGGGACCAGCAAATCCACCGGGCGTTTGTCGAGGGCCACTGAAGACCAGGTTTCCCAGGGTGCCAGTTCCTCCATGATGGCGAAATGCGCTGCCACAAGAACTCCAGCGAGAATGAAAGCACAGCAACCAACGCCGCGGGCGAACTGAGGAGAGAACACTGAACAATCTGTGCACAATGATTTTCTCTTCGACGGCACGCGTTGCTGTTCTACTGCATGCATGCGTTTTTCTTGTTGTTTGATCTTCACACATTTTCGCGCAAGCGGTTGCGCGCCGCTGGGACTCGGGGTTACTAAAATCAGTACAGAGCATCTCCCCCTTGGTCGATTTGGACGATCTATGGCTCAAAATTTTCAGGAGACCCTGGCAAAGAAATTTACCGAGACGTTTCTGGAAAATCCTTTCGAATGCTCTACTATATCTCACGAAGTTTACGCATATGCTCTGGCATACCCGTGTGAGTAATGAAAATTTGTTTCGGTAAATCTTTTGGAACACCTGTCATCTGTGCCTGGGCCAAGTCCCAGCTTCGTAGAACCTGGCTGAAGTGCTGCTAACTCCTTCAAACACCCCCTACTTCGAGCAAAAATGCGACGAAATGCTGACTGCTGATTGGCCAAGCTGGCATTTTGGAGCACGTGCACCGCCCCCATCTAATCGACGCTTTTCTACGCAACTGTGAGCCCTGAAATTTTCAAAATACAAAGGCATAGAGCGGACATGTGACGTGTTTGCGATTGTAACCTAGGCAACGACGGAAACACATAACACGTCATAAGTTCCGTACTCGGGAACATTTCACGGCTCGAAAACGACGTAGCGCCTCTACGGATTTTGGCGCGAAAAATCGTACTCCGGAACCTCTTTAATGAATTTCTCTTTCATCACAATCATGATGTCATCATAGCATCCACTGTGACGTCATCACATTCATAGTGACATCATTACCTTCACAATGACATCACACTTATCCACTGCATTGACTAAAATACAAACAATCACTTCACCATCAGGTTCAAACTGACATTACTCGACAGAATTCAGAACGCGCCAACACAATCAGGATTGTACCTTGAATCTGTGCCTACTCGTGCAGCGGTAGCAGCAGGAGCAGCAGCAGCACTCATAAGCTGACATCACGGTGGCGTGGCACTGCTCTTGAAGGCAGCAACACGCAAAACAGTCCATAGCAACACACGAAACAGTCCACATCAGCACGCGCCAGTACACACACACGCACACATGTTCGTCACGCCATGACAGCATGCAAAGCACAGCACGCATGGTCAAGTCATCGATCAATGAGATCTGGGGGAAATATAATTATATTACTCTACTTGATGCTCTAACTTAGTATATATGAAGCACTGCTCTCGAAATGGTAGTAGAAAGATGAGAGAGAGAGAGAGAGAGAGAGAGTGGGAGGGAGTGAATTAGGTCGTCTCCGAGGACGAATACCATGCAACATCGGCAGGAAGTCGTGAGAAAGGTTGTGCAAGTTTGTCAGCATGTGCAGCATGTGAGCTCTCTCTATCTACTCACTTCGTAAGTCAATCGGTGGCAAGAAGGTCGTAGGGCGCAGGGCGTACGGCTGTGAGCCCATGTAGTGACTACGGTTATCAACTTCTGGAGCCTTCAAATGCAGCGGTTATTGCCACTAGAGCGGCGTGTACTGCGGAGGTTGCTACCACCTTCAGGCTGCTACTCATCAGTGTATGGTGCGGACGGTAGAGGTGGCGCTTACTCCTTGTCGAACTTCAGCGAGCACGAGTTGATGCAGTAGCGCTTGCCACTGGGACCGGGACCGTCGTTGAACACGTGGCCCAGATGGGCATGGCACTGTGCAGCAGCAGCACACACACACACACACACACACACACACACACACACACACACACACACACACACACACACACACACACACACACACACACCACACACACACACACACACAGTACAGCAGAGCAAGAAAACACACATACACAGACACAGGCACAGACACAAACACAAACACACACACCCAGAGGAAAGCACAGCAAAAAAACATACACACACACGCACACACGCATACAGGTAGTATGAGTGAGGCATACATTGAAAAAAAAGAAGGATGATCACAGTGAATCCACACCCAAATTTTCCTACTTGATTTTCCCGAGACGCTCATCAGGGAAAGCTGTCTCGACGATAGAAGCTAGGCAGGGCAAACTAACTTATGCGTTCAGGGGATACTCGGATGTTGAGCCAATAATAAATGTAGAAAGGAAAAGGACATATGGATACGAGTTAAGAGTATCTCTACACCACTGTAACTAGATATTATACAGACAGAAAGTGCAACAACTAGGCACAAAACTGACAGAGTACTGAGACATTGGACGTCCTGAGTCCTGACACCTAGCTTCAACACTTCAATCTCCGTAGCGCTAACCAACAGCCTTCCAACTTGGAAGGTTCAAGGTTAAGGAGAGACCAGTTTTGTGCCTAGTTGTTGCACTTTCTGACTGTAGTATCTAGTTACAGTGTTGGAGAGATACTCTTAACTCGTATCCATTATGTCCTTTTCCTTTCTACGTTCAGGGGATAGTGCGAACGAAGTATACAGGAAATGCATGAAAAAAACATGGATTACTGGACCGATTGGAAATTGCAGGCACCGACACTGCCAATCACTGCAAATATCATACTGAGAGAATACACAAGTTCAGCATTCGAGTTACCGGAGGATGTACCCAGTGTGCTGACAGTGCTCAACACCATGGTGGAGGCAGAGTGTAATACAGAACAGAACAACAAGGACAATCAAGGCTTGTAGCAGCAAACAAGCCTTGATTGTCCTTGCTGTTCTGTTCAGTTCAACATTTGAGTTATTATAAATAATAATAGGACAAGCAAGAGCTATGCCCGGAACCTCAATACAGTACTCAGAAGGAACCTGTAGCTTGCACTTGTGGGAAGCGTGCGCGCGTGGGCATATGTGTGTGTGTGTGTGTGTGTGTGTGTGTGTGTGTGTGTGTGTGTGTGTGTGTGTGTGTGTGTGTGTGTAACACAGACCGTAGCTCCTTCTGCATCGTTTTCAATTGCGGTCGGCGCTTCAGTGGACCACAGGACCTATCCCGTCATCGCCCCTACTGTTCCGAACCTGCTCAACCCCCCATGGGGTCCGCATAGCCAGAATATGGCAGCGCGTCCAAGGTCCAAGGTGTGTGTGTGTGTGTGTGTAAGAAAAAAAATGGAAAAATGAAAAATAGGGATTCACTGGCCAGAAAAAGTCACTTCAAACAGCTGTGAGGTGGATACCAGGCTAAAAATAGTGGCGGTCAATTCATCAGCCTTGCAAGCTGTTGAATAGTGTAATCCCAGCACAAGTTGCTATGTCTAACATAGCTGTTCGCTATCATCACTTCCGCGATGGGCATGTCTGAGGTCTGAGGTGTGTGTATGAGTGTGTGCGTGTGTGCCTGTGTGTGCGTGCGTGTGTGTGTGTCTGTGTGTGCGTGGTCGGCCGCAGAGCGCAACAGCGGTGTAGTCGATTTAGAAATATACGCAGAGTGATACATAACAACAAGAGTTCATAACCCCAAGAGTGCGCAACTGGGGTCTGGCTGCTGTAGGCCCTCTGCGCACGCGGAATTCCAACATTACATCATGCCGCTGCGGCACAGAGGAAAAAACTCCGCATTCCGCGGTGCTTGGAACCAGGGAGTAGTGCAAGCGCAACGAAAGTGAACATCGTTTTTGACGTAATGTTGGAATTCGGCCTCCCGGATCCCCATGTACAGAGAAACACACTCTTGGGGTTATGTCTCTTGGGGTTATGGACTCTTGATAACAATAGTCTTCACTAGATCAACAGGGTGACTTACGGTCATGCTAGGATACAAAAGATCAGCCCCCTACACTCTTGCAACCCAGACACACCGTCTATTCTCTATTATAAGCACAGGTCTCCATTACTAGCACACTGTGAGCGCATTTTCGAAACATTATAAGCACAGTCTCCATTATTAGCACGGCCTCAGTGGAATTCAGGGTTGCATGCCTGATATGTACTGTAAAAGCCATTATTCTAACGAGGCGCATATATAACGATTTCCCAAAATTGACTAGTTTACGTGTACCAAAGGTAACGATTCTCACTCATTCTCAACGCTCAATAGGACAGTGTATGTATCGATTTCTGTATAACGATTTCTATTTTAACGACAGATTTCTCCTCGTTAACTCGTTAAGAATTAGCACTTCGTTTTATTATGGCTTTTACAGTAGTCTGTATTTCTTCTTGCTCTGTATGGAGTTATACTGAAGTAGGTTGCAAAACATAAGCGCGGTCTCCAGTACAGGCGGGGTAGAGGTGTGTTGGAAAAATACAAGCACAAACTTAGAAGTTGCGACTTCGGCAGTAATAGTCATGAAGTGGATTGTTCCAACTGGGAACACACGCTTCTTGCCGAACTTGACACTTGACTGACTCACGACTGCCATCCGGAGCACACGAGGAGCACGTCGCACCTTCCACTCGCCAAACCTCCAGATGGCAGTCGTGAGTCAGTCAAGTGTCAAGTTCGGCAAGAAGCGTGTGTTACTAGTTAGAACAATCAACTTCAATATAAGCCAGATGAATTTACAGTCAGACCTCGCATAACCGCACACATTCGTTTTCCACAAAATATCCGGATAGGCGAGGGAACCGGATAATCGAACACACATACTGTATGTATGCATTAATCGGTAACCAACGGCTTTCTTCCGGATGGCGAGGGATCCGGATAAATGAGGACCGGATAAGCGAGGTCTGACTGTATCCGGTATCGCATCGCAGTTTGCTATGCAAAATCGATCTACTGCTACTCACAAATCACCGTGACTCGCAGAAACCTGCGATACATACAGGCTATGCATGCCTAGCTTACGCTGTCAAGTAACATGCACACCGTGCAGTTGACGGGTGTGCGAGGAACGCGAGATGTCCCTCTGTGGTCTAAGCATCTTCAGCCGTTATTATGCGGATACTTCAAGGAGGTTTTCAGGAATCACTCACAACAAGAACGATGCGGCAACTACCCAACTTTCGAAGAAAGATGCTAATTAAAATATCAAAGACTGCTACACAATTGAGATTTTGCATAGCAGAAACTGCTATGCAACAACATGACAGTAAATTGATCCCTGGCGCTTATAATAGAGAAATTACGGTATGAACCAACACCCACCCATCCACGCAAGTGTGAGCCTATGTGCACACGCACACCCATGCACGTCACACGCCACAGTCAACCTACACTTCCGCAGGTGACTTCGGTGCGAACCATTCCATGCGAACTGTCCTCGATGAGCTTCACGGTTCCCGCATTGGCAATATCAGTGAACGATGGCCATCCTGCGAATGTACACACACGCACACACGCGCGCACGCACACACACACACACACGCATGCACGACAGACGCGCGCACGCACGGACACACAAACACAGGCACAGAAATCAGCAAACATGTATGCCTGAATAGATAAACATGGGGGAAGCTGGCCAGAGATCGCAACGGCGACACACATTGGCGATGATAAAATGAGCGAAGCGACATGACGTGTGGCTGCTTATCTTCCAGATCACGAACACATCAGTACAGTATGAAGTTGGTATAAAAGGTTGAGGACTGTGCATTTGTGAGGTCATCGCAAATGCGTCGCAAGGAGTGTGTGCAATGGAAGCTGCGATGAACGTTTAAAAAGAGTTCTAGGGGAAACTGTAAATAACAGAAGCATTAATTTTACCTGAACCGGAGTCAAACTTGGTATCCGACCTGGAGAAAGCACAGCACAAGCAAACACAAAACCCGAGCACTGTAAATATACAAAATGCTGACGCTGCAAAATTTAATTAACGCAATAAATAGAGCAAGCTGCGCACTTAGTACAAACACCAAAATTTCGGCAAGAGTGCCTGAAAACCAGAGTGTGCAGCTTGGATGGGTTGCTGGCACGGCGGAATTCCGCGATTACATCATTTAGTGATGTGGTGCGTACAAGCAGGATTCAAGCAGGTCTCTTTCTGCACAACTGCAGCTCAGTTGCACGCAGTACACCATTTCCCGCCTCAGATCTGCGCCAAATATGATGTAATCACGGAATTCCGCCGCGACAGACACCCATAGTAGAAAAGGCCCCCAAGCTGCACACTCTGGTTTTCATGTGCTCTTGATTTCGGTATATTATCACGATTTTCGACATTTCATCAGCGATTTATTTTCGGCACGGGGTTTATACAAGTACACCACCAAAGCTGATGTGAAAAATTTCATCAGCGTTTTAATTATTTCGGCTTTTCGTGTCGGTGCCGAATATAGCCGAAATTAGAAAGCCGCCGAAATGTTGTATATTTACAGTATTCCGGATTCAAGCACACCGTCAGAGAGCTAAGAGGACAGACCTTTTTGGAGCAGCGACACCGCTATAAGGCACAGCTACGAAAAGCACACTAACTGACAAAGCATCACTCAAACACAGCATACACCTAACGCAATGCAAAGCCAATATCAGAAACAGAACCTACAGCAAAAAAAACCCAGTGAAAATGGTCGCGCACAGCACAGGTACAAACGTAGTCAAAACTGAAGTTGGAAAGCGCAAGTCTACACTTAGAGCACTGCACAGCGCCCTGTGTGGCACTGACTTGCTTGATCGCATCAACTCATTGCGCAGTACAGTACTGTCAGTCAACAAATAATAAATTAATAAATTTCACGGTTAACGTGAGACTTGGCTGGAAGCCGAGTTTTCGCATCCGTAGGAACGCCACCGCCCTCTAGGATCAAGTCAACAAATATTCGACGCATTTTTATTTTCAGCTATTTTCGGCCTGGTCATGTTTGGCTGAAAAATTTGTTGCGGCCGAAATTTTGTTTTCCAATGTTCAGTGTGACAGTGTATGCAGGTGGCAGCAGTACAGGCCGAACATTTGATGCGGCGGAAATGGGTTTTAGCCCTGGGAGGCCGGAATTTGAATGGGCCGAAAATTTGTCGACTTGCTGTACATTAAAACTTAAAAGCAATGCAGACAAGCTTACGAGAATAGCTCCACGCCGCAGACGATGCAATTGTACATGCCCTTGCCCTTCTCATTCACTAGCTCACCGGTGAATGCACTAGCCAACACAGGAACAGAGAGAGAGAGAGAGGCAGACAGAGAACACAAGAGTTAGAACACACATGTAGTACTCAGTGAAAACAGTCACACCACATGGTCCCTTTACTGCAAGCATCTTTCTACTCTCAACAAACTCTCAGGCTTGGCCTGTGTTCAGGCAATACAACTTCGAACACGCGACAAGAAAAGAGAAGAGAGAAATACCCCAGGTGAAAACAGCTGGTTTCAGTGAATGACCGTGTGACCAGTCTATCATAGTGTTGGAACACAGGCTGTCTCTGTGTGCAGATGGTCCCTGTAGTCAAGGCGACTGTTGCACATTCCACACGTTTGATGCTCAAGAATAGCGGTCTTACAGACCAGATGGCTGGCAAATCAGGTGGCCTACTCACCAGGTGGTCTCTTTACCAAATGCTTGCCCAAACCAGGTGGTCTCTTCACCAGGTGGTCTCTTCACGAGGGGTCTCTTTACCAAATGCTTGCCCAAACCAGGTGGTCTTCACGAGGGGTCTATAAGATGCTTGCCCAAACCAGGTGGTCTCTTCACGGGGGTCTCTTTACCAAATGCTTACCCAAACCAGGTGGTCTCTTTACCTGGGTTCACTTGTATTTTGGAAGCATAGTGGAAGTCAGAGCAAGATACAGATAAGATCATGGCCTCTAGAGACTGCTTTTACTGCTACCTGGCTTGACCAGACTCAAATACAGTCAAACCTGTCTAAGACGACCGCTCAAGGGACCTTCAAAATGTGGTCTCCGTTACCAGGTGGTCTCCTTATCCAGGGTCATTTGACTGGAAATAGCATCCCTTGATCCTGGCTTCAGTGGTCTTCTTGGACAGGTGGTCGCCATGACAGGTTTCCAGTGTCTGCTCTAGGATTGTAGGACAGCCGGGTACACGTGTACCTGGTGCATCCATTTCAACCGGGTCGGAGCCGGGTACACATGTACCTGGCGCTCTCTCACCAGTCGAGTCATGACGTCACATGCCACGGACGACCTGTTTTCCAAGAGTCGTGGAAGCGCAGCAGGGCCTGTGGATTCGCCTCTTCGCTGGAGGCTCCATTTCCAAAAACAACACCTCAACGATCAAGCTCGAACTGAGCACGTGCACACACCGGACTACTTTCACTTCGACGCGCGCCTCTGCATGATCTGTCACACATACAAGCCATGTAGTCAGTCCTTTCAAAGTTCGAACGTGTAAAGTACCAACCGGGTCACAGGTGACCCGGGACTATATTTTCAACGGGGTCCAAGCGCCGCCCAACCGGGTCGATTACCCGGCTCACCCGGCTCTGGAGCAGACACTGGTTTCACTGTACTACCACTAGTGTAGTGGTGTATGACTGGACTACTGTACTACCACTAGTGTAGTGGTGTATGACTGGACTACTGTACTACCACTAGTGTAGTGGTGTATGACTGGACTACAGTACTACCACTAGTGTAGTGGTGTATGACTGGACTTACCCTTCAGTTCCCTTGTTCTGGGTGACCTCAAACTGCTCGCTTGTGAGACGCTGACGCAGCTCCTCCTCCGTGAATTTCTTCTGCAGAACCACCAGGCACAGGGGAGAAACGGACGGTATCGTCAGCCATAAAACAAAACGGACATAACCAAGCATCAGCAGCATCAGCGGCAAAGCCCAGGGACTACGGTCTGGTTTCCCGGCCATAGAGCTAGAGGAAGCTTACTTTGAAACGGATAATTTTAGCGATGGTGACATTTTAGAGACTTTAGCGAAAGGAGTGCCTTCGCCAAAGTTAAGCCGCGCCAATCGAAAGTCTGCATGTACAGTACAGTCTATCCTTCTTTTCAAAGTCTGAAACTCGGATCGCTAAAATATTTCATCGTGAATTGGTGCAGACTATAGGAAAACGCTAAAAAATGTTACCCGCTAAAATTAGCCGTTCTACGGTACATTGATCTCATCAGGGCGAAGTCCAGGGGTGTGGGAACGGATTTCACATTGGTGCACTCAACACCAGGCCGTGTGGGGTTAAACAAAAGGGGGGGGGGGGGGGGGGGTTGGCTTGCAAGAGGCAGCCTGCACTTCAATATTCGGGAGAATGGCATCCAGCGAGCTCAAATTATAAGAATGGTCACGACGAACTGTGAGCATGCTTCATGGGCTCGCATTCGCCGCACCACACACGCTACTGAATGCATGAGCATGTCGCGATAACTGGGGCAAGCTGTGCAGTCAATAATAAAATTATTACTGTAAAAGCCATTATTCTAACGAGCCTCATATACTATAACACAATTTTCCTGAAATAGACCGGTTTACGTGTACCAAAGGTAACGATTCTCACTCATTCTCAATGCTCAATAGCACCAGTGTACATGTATGTATCGATTTCTGTATGTTTTCTATTTTAACGACAGATTTCTCCTCGTTAACTCGTTAGAATTAGCACTTCGGTTATACATACAGAAAAACCTGTCAAGGCGACCACTCGGATAAGGCGACCACCTGTCCAACAAGACCACTGAAACCAGGACCAAGGGATGCTATGTCCAGTCAAATGACCCTGGACAAGGAGACCACCTGGTAACAGAGACCACGTTTTGCAGGTCCCGTGAGCGGTCGTCTTAGACAGGTTTGCGTATATACAGTAGATATTGGTTATAACGTGCCTTTCTGATTTATGTCACTTCTCTGCGGTTGACGTCACAGTATAAGAATTAGCAGAGAAGTAGTGTTCTCTGTCCACCCGGGAACGGGTACGAGGGAGCACGGTGTGGGATAAAAGGAGGTGACGAGTGCAGGGTCGGCCTCTTTTGTCTTTGTGCTGTGGTGGCCCCCACTGGCAATGTTCACGTGTTCAATAGTGGTGTACACGTATGAGTGAGTGTGCGGATGTGTGCGCAACGAGTGAGTGCAGGGTGGACAGAGAATTCCCATTTTATCACTATTACCAGTATATCACTACAGGCGATTTTCAACTGGACTCGTCTTACATACACATCATACACGTGTGGGTACTCGATCGCGCTAATGTAGCGTACTGATACACGATGCATGCTGCTGCACCTTCCCCAGTCTAGAGTGAAGAACTTCTTGGCCCCAAGGCATCATCCAGGAAGCATCAGACCTGGAAACACACATGTGGCTCCAAGTCGAGACACCAATGCCTCACACTCGTGTGTTGCTATCATTATAGACGATATTTGTTCTGCACAAAGAGGTGTTTTGAATGGTGATTCTGTATCCTTATAGCCGATTTATCGCTATATCCGATATATCGGTTATAATGATAATTTGACTGGCTTTTTCTGGTTTTGCTTTTGATATTTTCATTTTGTATCAATATAGCCGGTTTATCACTATGTCCGATGACTTTATAACCGATATCCACTGTATATATGCACGCTACCATAGCTCAGTGGTTTGAGTATCGCTAGCTACAAGTGAGGGTCCCTGCTTCGAGTCCTGGTGGTGACAGTCAATTTTTTCTTCAGACTTTTCCCGTTTGTGTCTTTCCCTCAAACTAGTCAAGATATATATAGATATAATAGAGTGTTTTACAGTATCCTCTACAATTCACACAAAATAGATGATGCAGCGGTTGTTGCCGTATGGGTCCGACCATCGCAACACCTCCTGCATCGCGCGTCGTACGAATCATACTAGGTATTTTACAGCTTGCTCCAGACGCCATGCTCTTACACCACATTCTGCCATGGCGTAGCATCTGGGCTGCACCGAATGTGAACTACTTAAAACTACCCTTCACAGTCAACGCCGGCATGCAGCCATGAGCACTGTCATTGCTCCTCCGTCACGTTAGCTCGAGTGCGAAAAAGATTTCAAAATTGTAAATAGAGTAAATCTAACAGCAGTACAATTATGCACTGTCGTGGACATGGAAATCCAGTCGACTGACCGGGGCCGGCGCCCTCAGAGCGTACAGAACGTTGCATGCAGTGCATCTGTTGATCCGATGCAACCAGCGCGCTGCAGCGGATAAACGAAGGCATGTACCGCACGCATACTCAAGGTTGCATGGCCAGCGCCCTGGGGCCGCTCGACGTGCGACCGGATTTCCATGTCCACGACAGTACTTCACCTGCTGAGTACTGCCGGTAGCCGCACTGTATGTAAATCTACACTGTTGTGTGTGTGTGTGTCACGGTGTGTGTGTCACTGTGTTTGTGTGTGTGTGCGTGTGTGTGTGTGTGTCACTGTATGTGTGTGTGTGTGTGTGTGTCCGCGTGTGTGTCTGTGTGTGTCCGTGTGTGCGCGCCCGCGCGTCTTCAGTAATCTACTGCATGTAAACGGAACACACTGCGACACCTTTATTGCAGTTTTATCAATATTATGCGTTCTGCTGCTAGAGTCCCTAGGCCCTTGAAATAAAGATTGACAAGCGATAGTAGCTAATAAAGTTGATACATTAGCATCGTAGACTGCTTGAAATTTCCTTCCCCATCATGTAGACTACACATCTTGCTCTTAGAGCTCTCAGAACAATCATCTTGGAGGGAAATCAGAATTTTGGGAGCCCCAATATCCAGCCAAATTCTTACTTCACCCATAGCGGCGACGCTGGCAGAGAAATACTTCTTTTGAACGGCTGACGCTGGGCGAACCGAGGACGTCAAATTTCTAATTGCGAGGGCACGAAATGGAGCAGCTCGTAGAGCAAATTTCAAAGGAAACATTCAAATGAACACCAACAAATGGATCTCTTTTCACACTTTTGGTTTGCTTTTGAGTTTTGTACCGTAGATCTGCGCCTGCTGGATCGTTCTGTGTGATCGAGATCATTCTATCGAAGCTTTCATGTGGCTTCACAAGTGTGGCTCTGGCATGAACATCACGTTTCCTACGAACCCTGGGTAGATCTACGACTAGTCGACTACGAGTCGTGACTTGACTATTTCCATTGATTTTTGATCACGAGCGCACGTGAATGACGGATCAACACAGATTACGTAATACGAAACGTGTACATAATTATACGTAACGTTCGTGGTTTCTTGTTTTTGACTCGATCGATCGAGTTGAGTTTGCAATTATTATTTTGGCCTTCTGCTCAAACAGGCGCTGATCCCAAGCACCGTCGAACACGAACTCTCGTCTCCGTTGATTGTTTGGGACTTTATGCCGTAGAAGACGGCTAGCAGGACGTATCATACCTGCAGTCTGTTGATATTTTCGCTGTATCGTACGTCACTTCGACTTGAAACTCTTTCCATCTTTTATTCATCAGTTGAAAATCATTTCATGTGACACCGATAGACGACTCTGGATGACTCTGTTGTCTTCTACTTGACATTATTTCTCTGGCCGGGACTACTAGAAAACTGCTCCCCTGTCCCTCCACACCTGTGGTAAGCTATATTCGGTATTGGAAAATAATAAAATTGTGTTAAAAAATCCGTGAGTTAGAAACTTCTGCTTCGGGAATGAATGACAATTATTCGGATTTCGGATGGACGAGTGGAGCAATGCTCGCACATGCACTGTAATGCCGTGTTGCACGATGCAATGTGAATGAATGTGCATCCAAGTGCCGTATTTGCTCGCCTTGCCCACCCTGCAACACTGTCAAACGTGCTACAGTACTAGTATCAAACATTGAGGAAGCTGTTCTCGTGGACACAAACACGGTTTTTCCTGAGTGCACCCTAGAATGAAATGAGCTTGGCTAAAGTAAAGGGCAGACAACACATTACAAGTGCACCTGGTTTTCTGCGTATTGTGCGTGGTGTCCGATATTCCACATCAATCTCATCCGTGACATAAGAACATAACAATTATATTAGCACCAAGAGTGCATAAACAAGAGTATGCAACTGTGGTTATGGGTCAGTGCGCAGCGCGCTGCCTTCATTACGTAACTTGCCTTCATCACGCTGGCTCTGAAAGCATGCATTCAAACTCACAACTTCTCGTACGAGTCCATCCGTTTTTGCTCGATTCGTTCCAGTACCTACGCGATCTCTAAATTTTGGCGCGTGAACTCCAGTTCCCTACAGAAGTTCATTTCAAACCAGAGGGAAAGTGCGGCGTAAGATTTTCCGCAGTGCGCGGACTGCAGCTGAATGATGTAATGAAGGCAGCGCGCCGCGCATCTGCCCCATAGAAAAGAGATCACAGTTGCATATTCTTGTTTATGGACTCTTGATAGCACTCGATATTCAATGTTGATCATAGTAGCTCATGCGCACACGCCTGCACACACACACACACACACACACACACACACACACACACACGCATGCACACACACACACACACACACACCACCAACCTCCACCACCAACCTCACCACCCTCTCGGGCCCGCCGAAACCGGTCCGGTTGGTCAGGTTATTGCCGGACACACTTTTTTGGCCACCAACAGGATTGTGTTTCCTACTGTGGAAAGCACATGTACTGGCCATATCATACACGAAGTATAAAAGGTCACATTACTGCCTGGCCAATCGAAAACTGCTTCCGGCGGTCCTGCCCCCCCCCCCCCCCCCCCACACACACACTTGAGGGACGAAGATCTCTTTCTCACACTTTCTATTTTTCTCTCTCTCTCTCTTCCCTGTGCTGATTTGAACTTCAGAACAATGGATGCCTTACGAGAGCGTCTTCAGACAATAGACCTGCATCATCAATCTTCAGTGGAGTCTCAAGAAGCAGCCTCGCCACTGGATGCACCGCAAACACCACTATCGGTAAGCAGTGCCGCAACAACTGTCCCTTTGTTGAACTGCAGTAAACTCACACAAGGCAAAGACCACTGTCTGTAAGCAGTGCTGTAGAGGCTGTGCTGTAGGGGACCGCTGCAGTCAACTCTCAAACCACATGCACTCATCTGCAGTACAGTACGCCGTCACAGAGTCGTACGAGGATACGATCAATCACTTCCCTGACAAGAAGTCGTTCGGGCTCTCCGCCTTCTCCGTGAATTAATATAAAAAAAGGTTCTGCGTTCCTGCTCTCCACCTTCTCAGCGAACAAAAGAAAGCTAGAGGAAAACAAACAAACACAAGAAGCAAGAATGACAAGAAAGGGAGAAAATATGAGAACCATCACTGCACTGTAGGCCTCATTGCACTTTCAGTCACAGCTATGCAGGGAGATTCGGCTTATTACATGCGAAAATAGTTTGCTATAGCTGTTGGCTATATAGATGCTATTTTACTCCTTGTACATGTAATTGCACCAGCTGTTGGTAAATCGAAGAGAATTGGTGAGCACACATGCTCATTCCCTGGGCACTGCAAATTCACAACTCATTTCATTTTACAATGATTCTGTAAAATGAAATGAGTTGTGAATTTGCAGTGCCCAGGGAATGAGCATGTGTGCTCACCAATTCTCTTCGAGTTATGAAGCTGCAGGATGCCTCACCGCTACTTCGTTTGTTGGTAAATCACTGTTTATATTATGAGTCACTATGTATTCGTATTAGTGTTGTTGTGCTCGTAGCTACATGATGCGCAAGTACCCTACCCTTCTCCTTCTGTCATACCTTTTTCCTGTTCCTTGCTCTTAATGCCTTCGTCCGCTCTCACCTGTCTGTGTACACGGGCTGCAGGGTCGCTGGCGCAATGCTGCGGACAAGTCTCGTTCGATGGGTGACCCGTGGGCCGAGTTTCACATCGAGGACCGCTGCAAGGAGGAGAGGGCCCGGCGACATCGCTTCAACGCCCTCAAGTGCAAGTGGACGGTGGACGACATTCTTGTCAAGATGGAGGAAAAGGTAAAGTCTGCTTTCAATGCAATGATACTAGCAGACTTTAGGTAAAGCACGGCATGAGCTGGGGAATTCCCTATAAGTGGCCATAGGAACGCCACCCCCCTCAGCGATGAACTGTAGCAAGAAGGACCCATGAGTGTGTGTGATCCCCGGTAGCCTAATCGGCAGGGCACTGTCTCGGAAAGACTGGGGTTCTGGGTTCGAATCCCGCTCGTGGATCATTCTTGTGCAACAGAACCAAGTTGGAAGCTCTCTAGGAAATGCCGTATGGTCTTATTGATGTATGCTTTGATGCATGGAAAGTGACGGAGTAAGGACAGTGTAACGGAGGATTGGCGGACCACACGACAGGAGCAACACTAGACTCATTGAAACTGATTATAATAATGTTATCGTTTCGACGATTGTCTCTGTAACAGCACTGTAGACTAGGTATCGGTTTGCTCTTCTATGTGTGTGCTATTGTGTTCTCATGCTTAGCCATTCGCTCACGGAGCCATGCGCAACTGCTTTAGAATGTAAGCTGCAACGCTGGGTATGTGTGTGTGTGTGTGTGTGTGTGTGTGTGTGTGTGTGTGTGTGTGTGTGTGTGTGTGTGTGTGTGTGTGTGTGTGTGAGTGTGTGTGTGAGAGAGAGAGAGAGAGCCAATCCAATTTCACTTCAAGGTATCAGTGCACCTAGTGTCTGCTTTTATCAAAGCAGCGTGCTGTCTATACTGGTTACCCCAGCAAGTGTAGGGTGTGCATAGGTAACTGTCTTGGCCGTCCTATTCCGATGTACTCCGTGTGGTGTAGATCAGGTGTGCATTGGGGGGTCGATTCGCATGGCTTCGCCAGTTGTGTGGATTAGACAGTTACCTGGCGCTTGTCTTGATCTGTTTCAATCAGAATCAGATCCGCTATCGTTGCTATAAAGAGAAAATCTGTGGGTGCACATCCAGTGCATTTGCAGATTTGCGTGCTTCTCTTACGACGGGCGTATACATGGTACATGGTACATGGTGTGAGAGAGAGAGAGAGAGAGGGGGGGGGATCCTTCCCTGCATCTTGTCCTCACCTACTTTATTGTGGTGGGCCAATAGGTTTGGTCGTATTTTCAAGTTCCCCTGTGGGGGCAGAGCATCCAACCTCGTTCCGTGAAAATATGCTCAAAAATGTATCATCTATACATTTTCTTGATGGTTTTCCATCACAGGAAGAAGCTATCTAACTTTGCCCACGAGGATTGGAACCACGCCGCCAACTATGTTGCCAAGAGCTACATCAAACGCCAGCCCAAGGACACTTACTTCGACGACGTGCAGCTGCAGATGGATGCCAAGCTGTGGGGCAACGAGTTCAACAAAGTCAACCCGCCGAAGAAAGTCGACATCATTCAGACGTACATCATCGAGATGGTCGACCGGCCCGACAAGCCTGTCCTCTGCGTCGAGCACCTCATCGAGGGAAATTATATAAAGTATAACTCAAACTCCGGCTTTGTCAGCGATACGCAACGACGCACTCCGCAGGTATGTCATCGTTGTTTTATGAGTATGGAATCACGCTTTAAACAGAATAAGCAAACTTCAGGCTATGCATAAGCAGCACATTCCTGAAAAATGTGTTTTGTTGCGTTTGCGTTTTCAAATTGAACACATTTTTTTATTGATAGGACAGGCTTGTTGCCAATTGTCCTCAGCATGCTGAGATGTGTGTTGGCTTTCCTCTTGACAAGCGTGTGTGTGTGTGGGTGTGCGTGTGTGCGTGTGTGTGTCACTGTGTGTGTGTGTGTGTGTGTGTATTTATGTGTGTGTGCGTGCGTACGTGTGTGTGCGTGTATGTGCATGTGTATGTTTGTGCATGCGTGTGTGACTTTCCTGCTCCCTCTCAGGCATTCAGTCACTTCACGTTTGAGCACTCTGCACATCATCTGATCGTAGTGGATGTGCAAGGTTAGTCAGTCTCCCACTGCTACTAACTACTGTAAAAGCCATGAAATCTGTCGTGAAAATAGAAATCATTATACAGAAATCGATACATATACTGTCCTATTGAGCGTTGAGAATGAGTGAGAATCGTTACCTTTGGTACACGTCAACTAGACAATTTTGGGAAATCGTTATAATTATATGCGCCTCGTTAGAATAATGGCTTTTACGTAGTCTGGTGGAGTGTTTGATGTGTCTCAGTAGCTTGTGCGAGTTGCATGGATCACGGATCACGTGGAACTTTCGAATGCCGGATAGAAATGTACATCGTTTTGGCTGTTTTGACCTCGTGTCTTCTCTCTAGATGCTAGGTCTCCCTGGTTTACACATACCGTAGTGTCACAGATAAAGCGAGTTTTTTTCTGTAGAATTCAAAGCCATTACTAGGCTTGTAGTCCCATCAGGCTTGTATTCAAGCTGGTTTGTCTATGTATCTGGTATGTCAGCACTGAAGCCAGGCTTATGTGTCGGTTGCATTCTGGAAGTCAGGCTTGTGATCAGAGCAGGCTTCTATATCAGACAGGCTTTTATGCAAGACATTACGCTCTCTGACTGTAAATGATCTGGCTTCTTTGGTGGATAGTTAGTAGGGGTGAAACAATTATACCGAATACTCGAGTACTCGCTCGGTTTTTTCTAAAATAATCGTACTCGGAATAAATCAGAGTACTCGTTCATACATGGTACATGCATTTACCACAGAAATCTGCAGTTTCAGAGCAGCCGTCGGCAGATATTGATGTGCAGACTGTGTGGTGAACATTTGTTCATGAGTAGAGAGAGCCCAAATGACCCACCAACCAATATACCCGAGAAAAATGACTGCTACTCGGTTCAATCAGGGTTGTATCATGTGATTTTAAGGCCCTTGGTGTGCAATTTTTAGGAGATGAAGAATACTCGAATATTCGATCGGAGAAAATCAGAGTACTCGAAATCGGGATCTCAATGCCAACTTTCACCCCTAATAGTTAGTCATAACTTCGTAACAATTTTTCCATACTCTATTCCATGATTACTGTAATACATTGGCTCACCACCCGAGTTTAACACTACAGTATGTTCTCTTTTCTGTTTGTTTGTCTGTTTGTCTGTTTTTGTTCCTGTGTCCAGGTGTTGGCGATCTCTATACTGATCCTCAAATCCACACATCCGCCGGTTGCGAGTATGGTGAGGCGAACCTTGGACTCAAGGGAATGGCTCTCTTCTTCGCCACGCACAAGTGTAATCCCATCTGCCGCATGCTGGACCTGAAGCCGTTCGAGCTCAGCACTCGTGAGGTCAAGGAATGCGAAAAGCTTGCCCAGTCGGCCATGTCCACGCTGACAAAGGCAAGTCAACGTTGTGAATGCTGCTCTATCTGGTCTGTGGGGGAGGGGGTGCGTGCTCATTCATATTTATTTGAAGGTGTCGCTGCTGGGGCATCAGACACGCTACAGTCACTACGGTGTTGACCGTACCACTCTGTGCCCCAGCTACCCTGTGAATCAGTGAAAAGCACTGATTTGGGCTCTAAATTTCGAAAAATTTCAGAGAAGCCACCCCAACCCAGGGAGTAATTTGTATTTCAGGTGGATGACCGTACCACACTAAAATACCTTGCGACGCCCCTAGTTGCTGTGTGTTGTGTGCTGTGGGTGCGCGCTCATGGCCGCATTCGTAGGCGTGTGCACGTTATCTCTATTCGATATCATTCACGCCGGAACTGCTGCTGCATAGCCCCAAGTCTGAAGACTTGGCAACGTCACGCCTGCACCTGACTCTTGCGCTATGATACGCGTCGCCTATGATACCCCTCAGAGTTTCCCACCTTGCTCCCCCTTATGTTCTGGCTGCCCGTTTTGGATCCGTCAGTTGCCTGATGATCGTAGTAATACGTGAAACTCAGAGTTGTAACAAAGCTTCCAATCTCCCTCTCTTGTGTTGTGGTGTGTGTATGTTACACGATTGCCTACTGTGCAGCTATCACTAACACTTGTGGATTGACTTCAATTTCCGTCTTTGTTCCGTCTTGCATGCACGCACGCACGCACTCACAGGTGCCCACGATGCTCAACTCACGTGCCACGGACGCAGCTCTCACTCGCCGCAAGCTGCTGGACAAGGAGGACATTGACGCGCTGTCCGTGGTGCGCAGTGCCGACTCTCTGCCACCATCGGTGCGTGTCATCGTGTCCGTTGACGATGTCAAGGCTATGAAGATGCCCGTCGAACCGGAGGTGAGTAAGCATTGTCCACAGTGAATCACACGATGGGTAGCAGCCACCCCGGCGATACCCCGGCCTCATAATACAGGTGTTTGTTCAACACAGGTTACGTCTGCAGTGAACCACACTGTGGGTAGCAGCCTCTCCACCGATACCCCGGTCTCATAAGACAGGTGTTCTTTCAACACAGGTTAAGTCTGCATTGAATCACGCTATGGGTAGCAGCCACCCCGCCGATACCCCGGTCTCATAATACAGATGTTCTTTCAACACAGGTTAAGTCTGCAGTGAACCACACACTATGGGTAGCAGCCACCCCACCGATACCCCGGTCTCATAAAACAGGTGTCCTTTCAACACAGGTTAAGTCTGCAGTGAACCACACTATGGGTAGTAGCCACCCCACCGATACCCCAGTCTCATAAGACAGGTGTTCTTTCAACGCAGGTTAAGTCTACATTGAATCACGCTATGGGTGCTTTCGATTACACGCATTTCGGTCAATTCTAGAATTAGTTATTGTTGATGCACAGTTCGATTACACAAAAAGTGACAAATTCCGTCGTTAGAATTCATTTTATCCAATTCCGTCAAATCCGTCAATTCTGAAGAGAGGGGCGGAATTTCTCTAATTCTGGCGCCAGAATTGCACACTCGGTATGTTACCGGTCTGGTCATGCATGACTCAAGTCAAGGAAGAGCCTCCCTGATGGCCGGTGTGGCGCGAAAGCAGGGCTACAACTGCATGTAGTTGCTACTTTTGTCTTCCCGAAAAGCTAATTGCCGCTGTTGAGTTTCCGCTGGGAGCTGAATATTAGACCAGATCATTTTGGGTGGTCCTTTCGCACACGCGTTCAGCTTTATCGAAGCCCAATAGTGTTGCCGACATGGAGCCTTCGCCGGGATGGACCGGTATGCGAAGCTGGGTCGACGCGTGCGCGCGCGAGGGTGTACGTGATATCTGTTTACGACCAATTATGTTTGTGATATGCCATGAATAAAATGCGTTGTGAATACCAGTCGTTCGTTTACATGGCCGGAATTCGTACATTTTGGTCATTCGAGAATTACAAAACCCAGTTCCAGAATTGTGTAAACGTGTAATCGAAAGCACCCTATGGGTAGCAGCCACCCCACCGATACCCCGGTCTCATAAGACAGGTGTTCTTTCAACACAGGTTAAGTCTACATTGAATCACGCTATGGGTAGCAGCCGATACCCCGGTCTCATAAGACAGGTGTTCTTTCAACGCAGGTTCAGATGCAGGTACATGTAGCAACATGGTTCCAGCCCTGAGATGACTGGTCTCTCAAGGCAGGTGTTCTTTAACCCTTTGCGTGCTGAGTACGAGTTAACTCGCACTTTATGCATGATCAGATCCACTACGTAAGAGTTAACTCGCAAAACAATTCGCCCGATATATCGCAGCTCGCGCAGTGCATAGACCAGTGTACACACTTTCGTAACTTCGCCAAACATAAACGCATCGCGACAATCAAAACACCGTTGGAAAAGTCTTGACCTCGTCTGTCCGGGGATATAAAGTTCTTCGCGATAGGATAGGAATCCATTGAGCGGCGACAAGATGAACATGGAAATCACGGCCCAGAGTGAACGCGAATTGTTTTGTTCATGACTTCTTTTTGTTGAGGAGCTTGCCAGAGGATTTCCCTTTCACACGACGCATGCGTGATGGACATCAAATGAAGCGCGCGCTTGGATCTGAGCTTTGCAGCGCAGTTTGTGAAAATCTGTTGAATTTGGGCAAGAAGCCGAACAAGAATGTGAAATTGAGTTGTTGTGCCGTTCCGAGGCATGGTGAAGTAGTTTGGAGAGGACGTGGAAGTGGCCCTGATGTGTCTATGGAGCTGCGAGCTGCCAGGATGGATTCGCTTGGTCCTGATCTTTCCAACGAGCCCAGGACGATGAAAATCCATCAAGGTGGAGTGAAATGAGAATACATTTCGTTCGGAGCTGTGAGTGCATACTCCACCAAGAGCGACAGTGCGCTGGAAAGCCAGTGGATTGGAGAAAAGGGGCTCAGCATGCAAAGGGTTAAACATACGGTAAAACTCGTCAAGGCGACCACTCTGATAAGGCGACCACCTGTCCAAGAAGACCACTACACTTTGAGCATTGTTCCATGTGTACGATCATCCTGCACCTGGCACGTGCGCTACTACTCTAAAGTAAAACCAGTAATTAACGAACATTTAATTCTAACGAATTTTTTAATTCGTTTAAAAACGAATTAAAATATTCGTTAACATCTCGAAGTTGTTATGTACAAAATGATAAAAAAATGTACAAAATGATATGTACATGTACAGTCAGTTGCCGGTTTTGAGCGGGAATTCGTTAGAATTTCACCTCGCTAACCCACAAAATTCGGAGATCGTTAACTTTAGTTGACGTTAAAATATCTGGTCTTACAGTATGTGTGTGTGTGATCTCCCTGCATCCAGCACATATTGCATTGCTCCAGCGGCATCTTTTGCTAATTTCCTGTGCCTGGAATAATTATATTCTCCGTGCATCTCCTGTGTTTGTTGTGTGATGGCATAGGCATGTCCAGAGACACCGCCGCCAACTGCACAGTTGTCTGTCAAAAATGTAGCTCGTGTATCGTCTCGTTCTTCATCCGACGAGGACTCGTGGAAGTCACTGCAGAACTCCAAATACCGCGATGAGTTCAACATCCTGGGGCAGGTATGTGAACCATGTTTGTGTGTGTGTGTGGGGGGGGGGGGGGGGAGGGGGTGCTGATGTGTGTGCTTATGGGTGTGTGCGAGTGTCCACATGTGCATGCTTGTGTGTCTGTCTATCTGTCGGTGTGTGTGTGTGCATCGTTCATTGCACCGTCCTGTTTTGTGAGGCTGCTTGCATCTCCAACCAGGGAGACAGTTCCCCTGGAGAATGATCAGCTTTATCTCTGGGAGCGGCTTGTTTATTGACCAGATCTTACTGCATCTAATGACGTTCACCTTCTTTTCTTTTACTTCTGTCTATCCCCACTCTAGGTTCACATGGAGTTTGCACTCTATCACGAAATTGGCCGATTCAATCCGGCCGGAGAGCCAAACGTAATCGACGCTCTGTTCCACGTGGACTGTGCCGCGCGCTGTGGACATCGGCAGGCGCTCAAGACGATAGCACAGATCTACCTGCAGTTGCCGCACGACACGCTGCCCGGTGTCACTGCTGAGGTACGCATGACAGCAATATTGGCTGTGTAGTTAGTGTTTCGTGCCTGACGATGGCAATTTTGCCGAAACATTGTACGTAAAAGGAATCGGTTCGGTTTGCAGTGTTGTGAGCATGGGTGTGTCCCCGCAACTACTCTCTACGGATGAAGCTGCAAGATGCCTCGAAATTACTTCTCACATAGTTAGTGTTGTTATTCTTTACTGCAGGCTGCATGCCGGGTCATTTTCTCGACATACTCGCAACTTCAACCTGTATGCTCTACCGGGTTTCAGAAGCCAAAACTTTGTACCAGTGGCAGTCGAATGTGTCGTAATTTCCTTGTACATTAGTGTACGAGAAGCTAGGATAACAACTACACCATAGCTCGGTGGTTAGAGCATCGCTGGCCTCAAGCGAGGGTCCCTGGTTCGCATCCTGGTGGTGACAGTCAAACTTTTCTTCAGACTTTTCTCGTTTGCGTGTTTCCCTCGAAACCAGTGAACATATGTGCACTAGCGTACTGACTCAGTCTTTACATGTAGCATTAGTGGATGTTGAACAATGGGTCACTGTATTATCGTAGTTTGTGTTTCTGCTGCTGCCACCGTCACTGGGGGATGTAACATGTAATTGTTGCTGGTTGTTCATTAGTCTTTGTGTTGCTCCCGGCATGTGTGTGTGTGTGTGCGTGCGTGTGTGTGCGTACCTCTGTGTGTGTGTGTGTGTGTGTGTGCATGTAGGAGACCCCAGAGCACCATCGGCAAGGTCTGCGTTGCTTGTACCAAGCTAGCGAGTGCGGCGACCGGGAATGCATGGTCATGTTAGCTCGACGGCTTGACACGGGTGACGGCTTGTTGCCAGAAAGTCTATGTCAAGATGACCTGGATGCATCGCTATGGTATGTGGGAACAACCAACATAGCACTGTTGATCTCTTCAAGTACTGCTGTGCACATTGAAATCCGTTGAGAAGTCAAGCGGCCATGGGGCGCTGGCCAGCACTCCTGGTCCAGCTTGACAGTGTGGACGTGAGCTGCAGTGCACGTACGCGCTAAAAGCAGTAAGGGCGCCCGCCCCGGTCATCCCATCGGATTTTCAATATCCACAACAGCACAATACAATCATCATGTACAATTGTGGCAAGTGAAATCCGACACTTGCCATAGGGACAGCGCCACAAATGGACATCACTGATGTAATGCACTGCACCTAATTTGTACTATAGAGCCGTATGCATCCCAAACAGGTCGAAAGGTCACAGCGTAGATACACACAGTTCACAAAACATGGTACACATAAGGAGTATTGGTATCCAATCCCCATTCATTTTGCCAGCACCTTTTGAACCTTGACTGTGAACCTTGACTGTGATGAGTACGAATTCTGTCATCAGACAGATAACAGTTGTATGTAACACATGTACTGTACGTATGCAGGGCTGCATACTGCATGGTGCAGTCCCTTATGCCAAGTGTCGTATTTCACTTGCCACGACTGTACATGTATTCTGTTTATGCGCTGGGAATGTTGAGAATGAAGGCTCATCAGAAGTTCAGCTCAGTTATTACTACTTGATCAAGTCTTGGTATGAATTGAAAGGATACGGTCGACAAGAACTCGTTCACAGTATGGATTAGTGCCTCTTTTTGTTCATTTCCGAAAGAATATGAACAGGCGACACGGAGGCAAGATTTTTATTTAAAATAGCAATGTGCAGAATCAGTGAGGCGGACAACCAAAAGAATATCTCTCCCCCCCCCCCCCTCGCCAATGCAAGATAGAGCATCGGGTGGCATTGTTCACCTTATGTGGATCACTGGTCATGTGACAACATTGGTCAAGTGATCTAGTTTGGTCATGTGATCTAATTTGGTCATGTGATCTAATTTGGTCATGTGATCTAATTTGGTCATGTGATCTAATTTGGTCACGTATCATAGCTTTGTGTTTCTTTCCAGTGTATGGTGAATTCTGTGATGATTTTAGTGATCAGTTCACTGTTGTCAGTGCTGGGGATGCACTCTCTCTCTATTGCCGCTCATATTCCACTGTACAGGTGTAGAGACGTCCTTGCTGTAGCAGTGGTATTGTTTCAATGTGTCTTGTGTGTGTTACGTGTGTGTGTGCGTATGTTTGTGTGTGTGTGTGTGTGTGTGTGTGTGTGTGTGTGTGTGTGTGTGTGTGTGCGTGCATGTGTGTGAGTGTGTGTGTGTATCTGTCTGTCTGTCTGTCTGTCTGTCTGTGTGCCGGCATGCCGTGGTGTATACGTGTGTGTGGATGTGTGCTTGTGCGTGTGTGTGTGTGTGCGCGCGCGTGTGTGTGTCTGTCTGTCTTCTTGCGTCACCAGTAAGCGTTCCCATGCATTGGCAGTGCAGTGGTACAGCAAGGCAGTGACACGAGGTGATGATGACCCGGATTGTGTGCCTACAATGGGTCCTGATACAAACTACAGGTATGTCTTGTGTATGTCTGCTTTCTACATCCAGTGTCTGACTGCTTTCGCCCCGCTGCCTTTATTCTCATTGTTCCATCTCAACCTTTCTCACTCTCAAACTTGCGTCTGTGCGCATGTACGCTTGAGTGGTTGTGTGCAATCACGCTTCCTCGTGCGTTGTCGGTTATTGTACTGAGCACATGTGCTTGCTTAGAGTGCTCAGACAAGTGATTTAGAGATGAGATGTGTTGCCGTGCGCAGCTGCGCCTTGCCTTGTACCATGCTCCTGCTGTGGTGTGGGCAAAGAGTTCTCCTTCTCACGCTGTATATATGTGTGTGTGTGTGTGCGTGCGTGCGTGTGTGTGTCTGTGTAATTCCCTGTGTAACTGTGCGCTCCGCAGCTTGCTGGCGCGCCAGGCCGAAATCCTTCGCGAGGGCAACCACGGCATCGAGCGTGATGTGGAGAAAGCCGCCGAGCTTTACGGCCAGGCTGCGGAGGCTGCTACTGCAGCCATGAAGGGCAAGATGGCATCCAAGTACTACATCCTAGCGGAGGAGTGTGCGTACGAGTGAAAACCACCCTAGCTCCATCCGCTCCGGCCTGTTCAAGTATGAACTGTTGTTGCCTTTGCCGCCCGCTGTGGTAGTCCTTATTTGGAGTGCTGTGTGCGCACTTCATCCATATATGGGTATTACGGATCGCAGTAAACTCCTGAATTTATGGACTTCCACACTTGGGCGCGTGAGGCAGAATTCCCTTGATGTTGCACGTTTCCTACCACTGCCGGCGAGATGATTTTCAACACCGCACCCTGCTTGGGATTTAGCCTGGCTTGGCTGCATTGTGTGATCATGGCTATGTGTGATGTGCAGTTGTCGACGAGAGACCGTGAGTCGGCAGTGTTTCCGACATCAAGATACAGCTGTGTGAGAATAGATACGGATACGAAGACTGTTCTATACGTGGTTTCATTGGTTGACTTGATCTGACCCCCTACTTCTCTTACACATTTTCTAGATTTTTAGTTCTCTTTTTCTTGTAAACTTTTGCTTTACCGCATACTATTAATTTCTAGGGCGGTTTGCCCTATTCCACTTTCTGCGTGGTCCATGGTCTTAGCAGTACCGGCTGGGTGCAGATCTCTGTTGAGAACAGCCCAATGTCAGTCACACGCACACACGCAGGAGTTCCAGCTAATGTACTTCTTACTCTTGAATTAAACCTTTTTTTTTTGCGTTCCACAAATGTTTTTTTGTATGAATTATTTATTTACTTGCAGAAGTGCAGAGTACCCCAAGGTGGTCACCGCGCATACTGAGTTTTTTTTGGTTTGTCTTCGAAGCTAGCAGCCTGTATTTCGTTTGCCACACTCTAATGTTACTACTCGTTATACCTCTGTATACCTCTCTCTCTTTTTCTCTCTATCTATCTCTCTCGTTCTTGGCTTTGTGCTTATCACGTTTTGCTAGCCTGCATTTTGCGCAGAAGTAGCTGCATAGTTTTGTTTTGTTTTGTTTCTTCCTTTGACTCTGCCTGTTCCTGGCAAACGTTGTTATTATTATTATTATGTAAGAACTTTAGTTTCCAGTTTTCCACTCTCTACAAAATTAGAAAACAATCTTTAAATGAAGTTGAACTGCCGACCGATGTGACTCCAGGTACGCGTACTGCCGGGTGCCAAGGAACTGGGGTGTCAGTCTCGTAGCCTAGGCCGTTCTTATTTTCCTAAAAGTCTATGTGCAGGGCAGTTGCCGTGCAAACATCCGTGCGGTGTGCTTGGTGAAATTCTAGCCCGCTCGTTCTTCGCCTCTCCGTTCTCCGGCGCCCGGCCGTACTGTACTCGAGACCTTGGCTGAGAAAAGTGGGTGGGCTAAGATTGTGAATGCTTCCAAAACGCTTCCAAGCTGAAAAATCACTTTGCGCAACTGGAATTGATGCAAAGGCAATGGGATAGCATATGCAGGAAATCTCAAATCTTGAATAATAAACTGATGGGAGTGTATCCTTTCCTGTTTTATTTCATGATAATAATATCATCTTTGGAAAAAACTGATGGGAGGTTATGATTGTAATTCTGATATGTTCATTATGATAGTCTCAATGTGCATCCTGATAAAACGCGGAAAAAAAATCTGAACCGAGAATGTGTAAATCAATAGTATGGTCTTATAGATCTGTTTCATAATCATAGTTACCATGGTGATACACTGCTGCCGCATCGTTTCGCACTGGCGTGCTGGGCTCCAGGCTTAGGCCGTCGTCAAGGCAACCGCAGCCACTGTCCCCGGTGGAGCTGAGAGTGTTGGCGTACGTGGTGCTGTGGTCGCCCAGGGGATATCCGATGACGTGCTGTTGGCACTCTGCAACCGGCGTGTCCGGCTCGGATGACTGTACCGACTCTTCGTCGTCGAACACCAGACTCTCCGCGATGGGCTGCGGCATTTCAAAGTCGCCGGCGGACGCCAGTGCTGCATTGCGCATACACAGGCTCAGGTCGAAGTCCAGACCGCCGACGTTCAAATCCGGACTGGAGATGATGCTCTTGCCGGCAAAGTCGTCACACCATGCACTACCACCGCCGATCGGAATAGACGCAGCACCAGCGCTGGCCCCACCGGCAGAGTAGATAGAGTGTGTTGTGCTACATTGGCTCGGCCGTCGCTTCACGCTGGCACCAACAGTCCTGTTCGGGACGACCGTGTACGTTGTAACGTCCTCGTCCAGGTGGGTGCTCGCCGGTCTCGGCCTATCGAGGTCGCTGCCTGAGTGCGAGCGCTGGCCGAGAACCGTTGTGAAGCGCCGGCGGTTCAGAAAGCGGCGCGTGTGCTTGCGTGTCGGCACGCCGCCGCCGTCGGTGTGCGACTGCTTGTAGTTGCGCGGCAGCGTGCCTCCGCGACTCCCCGAGGCCTTGGCGTCGGCATCCTCCGAGCTGGTCTTGAGGTGATGCGGCGTGCTGCCTTCCGATTTGCACGCCATCCAGAGAGTGGAGGAGCAGGAGGATGCTGCGCCCACGCTCGGCATTCGGGCAAACTGCTCACCCAGCGGCGAGAAGTCAGCGGAGTCCATCGTCTGCCCGCTGGTCGTCGTGCAGACGCTGGTCGTGTTTGTGATGATGTCCACTTCGCGATACTCGGGCGGCGGGCTGCACGTCGTCATGATGTTGCTGCTCGTTTCCGACGGTGATGAGGAGGGTGGTGCCAGTGACCGGTCGCCATCTCCGTCATCTGCCAATGAGTTGCTGAAGATTGTCATGTTCATCTGAAATCCAGCAACAGGAATACAGAGCATATTGGAACTTTGGTAACCATGGTTTCAGCAATGATATTACTTCCCAATCGCAATGGCAATGCATTACTTCCCAGACAAGTTGATTACTTCCCAGAGCACGCGCACATCTGAACATTGGTAACCATGGTTTCAGCAATGATGTTACTTCTGAGAGTACTTGTAGGCAAGAACGTACAGCAGTGCCCTTGGCGGACATTTTTTGCTCGGGTCAACTTTTCCACGGAACATAAATCATCACTTACGGAGGTGGGGTTCACAACTTGGAAAGCTCACTTTTACACCCAACCTCGAGCGTGACTGGCCATAACTTCAAAAACTGGGAGCAGAAACGTATGGAAACGTGCTCCTAAATGTGTGCGCCGTGCACTAGCAATCTGCTGTATACATACCGGCGGGGGTAACGACATTGAGGTGAAGTCGTCCGCGTCGTGGGTGATGATGTCGCCACCAAGGCACGGCATGGCCTCGGCGTCACGGCGTGCCGATACAAACATCTGCGAGAGGTACAAGGAGCGAGATTCGAGAAGCAGCCCCAGTTATAGACATGAACAACTACCAATCGAGAAAGACCAACTAGTGTTGTAGAAACCGTGAGTGATAAGTTGTATTTGAAGCCAGTGGACTTGTCACTATACATCCTCCCAACACTCTCCTAAGTGGTCTCTCGGCTACACCGACGATTGAAAGAGAATAAAGTCATTCGAATTTCGGGCAATGCCCATCTTCAATGCAATTTTGTGCACAGCAAAGTGGAGTACATCATGAAAATGACACAAATCTAGACAATGGAACCGCGTGAAAGAGGCTACTGTGGAGTTACACAATCTTTGTAGTGATGTACAACCGCCCTGCCTTAGCCCAAACGTCGACAATAAACTTGTCGAGGAGGATACGGTCCTGGCAAAATGAGACCAGCGGCTCACCTCATACAAGACGAGTTTCCCAGCAACTGTCATCAGAATTGTCGAAGTGAACATGAAGTAGAAGCTGGGTCCGAGGTCAAATCCTCCACCTGAAAGAAAAGAAATGTTGACACCAGAATACATTTCTCAATATTGGGTACATTTCTCACTATCACGTGCAAACTCCACTGCATAACCATACGACCTCACAGCACTCTCCATCCGGTCTCGGGGCTTATCCAAACACTGAAGAAAGATGAAATTCGGACAACGTTATACTTTTTGTTGTGATTTGTGTCGCCCCGAGACTGCTTGAAGTGTGTTGTGAAAATGTATGGCTTACATCCGAATACAAAGAAAATGGGGAAAAAATAAGAGTCAAATCGAGAAGCACCGCAGTTTCTCGTGCCTCCGCAGTCTATACAAGTACGGTAAAAACTGTCAAGGCGACCACTCCCATAAGGCGACCACTCGTCCCAGAAGATCACTGCAGCCAGGACCAAGGGATGCTATTTCCAGTCAAATGGCACTGGATAGGGAGACCACCTGGTTACAGAGACCACACATTGAAGGTGGCTTGAGCGGTCGTCTTAGACAGGTTTCACTGTATTGTAGCTTGGCAGTGCGATATACAGTAGGGATTGGCTGGGCGGGCATGAAGAATTGCACTGGAAAGTTGCAAAGATACTTCACTATCCCTCGATTAGCTGGCGTCATCTTCACTGTCACTGTGATAGAAGTCTGGATGAGGAAATGGAAGGGTTTGGATGATCTTACACCGACATATGCGGTAACGAGTGTTTCTACCAGTATATTGCGCTGCACAGCATAGAGAGACAGCTGCAGAGGAGGCTTCAAACTCTTAGCATGACTGTGCCGCAATAACAGGGTACTGTAAAAGCAGAAATTTTCGGTGGTGTAATATTTTCGGTATTCTCCAAAATCGGCGCTTCGGTAAAATGAAATTTTCGGTAAACCCATTTTGAGGTAAGTGTACTACAGTCAGACCTCGCTTAACCGCACACATCCGTTTTCCACAAAAATATCCGGATAGGCGAGGGAACCGGATAACTGAACACACATACTGTATATGCATGTGGCACATCAAAATGGGTGGCATCGTACATACATGTAGATCAAAAGGGGTGGCATCGTACATACATGTAGATGGGTCCTATGCAGTATATCCAGCGTGCACAATATGTAAAACAAGCGAGAAAAATGACAAGTGCATGCATCCAGCAGGTCAAGGACCTCATTGGTTTGTACAACTCCCTGATTCTAACTTCTGCAAGCCACGTGCAACCGGATACGACGAAGCTATTTGCACACATTTCAACCAGTTTGTACACAAAATCATGCACCGGTATGCGGATCGCGAGGTCCAGTTATATTGTATGCGAAATGTATGCTGCACATCGGTAACCAGCGATTTTCTTCCGGATGGCGAGGGATCCGGATAAAAGAGGACCGGATAAGCGAGGTCTGACTGTAGTACTGTACCGAAAAATTTTGGTGCGTTTTATTTTCGGTAGATATTTCGGCACTGAAGTTACCGAAAATATAACACCACCGGATATTTCTGCTTTTACAGTATGCATCTGAAAAACGTGGACTAGCTTGGCGGAATAGTGCTTCAAGAGAAGTATTTATATCTCCACCACTTGCACACCATATTATGATCAGTAACCACTACACCAAGGTCGTTGACGCTGCAAATTTATATTATTGTACTCCCTGATGAAGCCCCAAGGGTGAAAATTTGGAGATTTCATTTTTTTTCAAAAAAAATTGCAGCGTCAACGACCTTGGTGTAGAGGTGAATGATCATAATATGAATTGGCTGCAGTGGAGTCTCCGTGTTCTAAAACACTTGCACACCAGGTAATACAAATCATGTAATCGAAGATAGCAACAACTATAGCCCCGCCATGCGGGCGCTCCAAACCGAATTGTGCCCGTGTTTCCATCGCTATCAACGTACCGAATGCGCTGAAGTCTTCCGCATTCAGCTCCAAGTGGCGGTGTTGCCTCAAGACCTTGCCACTCCAGACAAACCAGCAGATGAGCGCTGTGCTGGAGAGGATGACTGTACAGTGCATGGACCAGACAAGATATCGAGTGGCAGAGGAACGAACAGTTTGCAGCCAACACATTACAGGATCCTTGTTATGCTTCTACACGGCCACAGGCAAGCATGAGCAGACGCCAACACAACCGGACTGGAGTTTTCGAACAAACGTATAGCAACAACATTAAAAAAGAACACCAGGTACTGCATACTGCAGTAATAAGTCAAATCGAAATCTAAGTTACACTCCTATTTCAACGTCTAAGTGGCATAGTTCCAGTGTGTTTTAAAAATTTCTGCTCAGGGGCGTCGGAAGGTATTTTAGTGTGGTACGGCCAGCCACCTGAAATACAATTTACTCGTGGGGGAGGGGTAGCCGAGCTGGACCTTTTTGAATTTGTTTGCCCGAATCAGTAAATTGTATTTTTTATTTACTCCCGGAGCAACTGGGGCAAAACGTGGTACGGTCAATACCGCAGTGACCGTACCGTGTACGACGCCCCTGCTGCTAATACACACTAGATTGCAAGTCGCTGACCACCTTCTTCAAACTTGGAGTTTAGCATAGAAGTGGACTAAGTGGTGCCGGTACAGCACTGCTCAACGAAATCAGATCACGCGAGTGAATGCCACGCCGGGCACTATGCAGCCCTAGGACTGCGAACACTGGGCCCAATGTGAACTGGTGCAAGGCGCACACTAGATTCACGTGCAGCTCTGTGCATGCAACTATACATCTAGTTTTATTATCAAAATATTATTTATTGCCACATCTCTATTCACAGTGGGAACACTGACCATATTTTTCGGAGACAGTGGGTGTTAGCCAACCGCAGTAGACATGCAACTAATTTGGGAACTATGGCAATGCCATAATCCACCATAGATCTACAGCAGGTTCAGTAGAGCCGGGTTGCAGTCACCTACCCGATAGGATTATGGCGATGAAGATGGCGGCGTGATAGCGGAACATGTCAAACCGCGGCACGGTGAAGTTGAAGAACGTTGCGATCGCGCCCAGCAGGCAGGCGAGGATGGCGCAGATGCAGGTCGCCTGGTAGAACTGGTGGCATTCGTGCAAGTCCACGTCCCATAGCAAGTTGCGAAAGCGGCCAGGCAATCCACCGTTGATATCTGCAGCATGACAAGCACAGTGGTGAAGGAGGCAAACCAATGGAAGAATTCTTTTTAAAGATGGGCTGGGTTTCTTTTCTTTTAATAATAATAATAATAGTTACAGTTCGTATGTGACTCGGATCCATGGGCTTAACGCATCTGTCAATGAAATCCAGGCAGCAGAGCCTACAAAAGGCATCTCAATATTGTTAGAACACATCGCAGTAAGAACAACTTCGCAAGCGCAGCACATTTTTCCACAAGCATCAGCCATTTTTTTTCTTTTCTTTTCTTCTGTTTATTTTCTACAAAACCCACATATCTCCAGACACTGTGGTGAATAATGGAGTGTGGTGGTGGGGCCCATTAAGCTCAGCCCACCAGAGGTCTCGGCTTCATAGCTCGATGGACGCAGAGTCTGCTCAGTGAACAATGATACATGCCTGCCAGGTATGTACATGCCGTCGCTTAATGTCGGGGTAGGGTGGGGAGGGTTGATTAAAAATACATCAACTGATTTTTTTTCATTGATACTCAAATAATGTACAACTTCAGTCTGATGTTTGCATGAATCTCCATTTGCATCCATGATTGGCTGGAGTTTGCAAAAGAATATGGGGGGGGAACGAAGACTTGGAAATTAATATCATCGAATCTGTCTGCATTATGAAGAGCTTAGGTGCATAACGCGACAATCATCTCCATTTCATGGCTTTTCGGATAATGCGACGAAGGATTCATTTTATGAGCGACTTGAATCTATATCCATATTTGGCCATCGTTTTTGAAGTGGTTCTAGTCAAATTTTGCATGTTCAATTTTGCCTGATGGTGCCTGGAGACCTTTCGACTACGCTCAGCTCAAATCTGCGGTTATTAGCATGCATATGTATGTGCAGTGCCACCAAGTCACCATGTACATGTATGTTTAGTCAATCTGCGGACAGAACTGTTTCGTCCTTCGTGGACTCACCAGCGCAGCACAGAGAAAAAGAGTCCACACTTGACAGCACTGAAAAATAAAAATAAATTCCAAAGCCGGATTTAAACCAGGCCCGTGCGTGTTATACGTGTACAGAGGCCTGTTTGTTGCCAAACACGCCTGGATTGCCCTTGTTGTTGTTCTGCGTAATTATAATGTATGCAGTCATGTACTCAGTCTGGTGACAGAACTGCTCCGTCCTTTGTGGACTTGTCAGCGCAGTCCCGATGCATGTAGGCATGATGTGCTGGGTGAAAGTAGCCTGTTCATTCTTCAGCTCCTGACAGCACTGCAGGGGGGGGGGGGGTGGAGGTGGGATACTTCATTCCAGCAGGAACAGGGCAATGTCAGCTGTTAGCCTAATTGAAGCAATTCAGTTATTGTATATGGATCTAGTGACAGTACTCTAAGCAATACCTAACTTGAACTATCAAATCAGCTGACAGGAAAACACAAAGTGGATCAGCTGATGGTATGACATCATAGCGCTGCACACCAATTCTTTTTTCATGGGCTGGTCGCCATGCAACAACCTCTTACATTCATGCACAAAACCCCTCTGCACAATGGCCCAACCAATGGCCCCTTGCTTTGGGCAGGCTGGGGCCTGGCTCTGGACGTGATCATTACACGTTCCCTTCCATCGTGTTAGGTTGTGGGTCTTCTTACACCCATACTGCAGAAGAAAGTCAGCGCACTTCGCCATGCAGGCAACCCAAACACAGGCATCACAGCCATAGGCAGAAGAGTGGGTTTGTACAAAATTAATGGCAGGTGATCTTCAAGAAGTAAGTGATGGTAGAACTAGTTAAGGCGGGCTCGATTATTTGTTACTAATAATTGAGCCTGCCTTTTTCAGCCTACAACGCGCTGAGCGGGAAAGTTCACGATTGTACAGAAGCCGCGGCGAGCCAGGAGTATCACATCGAGTCTACGGGCTGATCAATCCGCGACGAAGGGTAACTGCGCGGTTTGCGCTTACTTCCGCCACTCGCCCGAGTTCATCTTGCGGGTATCGGTTCCCTAGATGCCTGTTCCGTGCATGCGTTACCTCCAGGAGGTCGGAAATGTGTCGTGCACGTTTCCCTTGTCACCGGTTCGCGGTGTAGCAAGCTGAAAGCTTCGCTTCGCCAGCTCGCCATCTCTCGAAACCCTGCTCCAAACGCAGCTACTTCGCCGGGGCACACAGAAATCGAAAAAATTATGACAAACGATCATGAGCTGTACGGCCACTGAGGGATTCTGTGGACATTGCGGGCGAGATAAGCCGCAAGCTGCCGCGCTCGAAAAGACACGTCGGCCACCCATGCGATGAAGATAAACGGGTAAAGCAATCAAAGTTTCGGTCCAAGGACGGAATTACTTCTCGCCACTCATGGGCATCCAAGTGAGGTTGGAAGAGAGACATTTATTGACTTGAAGTCAGCCGATGATAAAGGAACGAACGCGGTCTATTGGCTTGAACGAAATTTGGAAGTGCACGATCACCTCACTTCGTACCGATCGTCGCAGCAACAGTTTTGTTTGTATACTTTATTTGAATCCCCAAATCCAAACGAGCACAAATGCTCAATGACAAGGCAGCGAATACTACACATCCACTGTCCCTTGTAAGTTGTGTAGGACTGGTACTGCATCGAAGAACCTTTGAACACGATAATCAAGTTTTGTTGTAGTGTTGTTCTACGCTCGTCCACTTCTCTATCACTTGTCTTTCAACTGGTCTCCACAAGTGTGCTGCTGATGTTTGAGTGGACCACCCAAATCCACACCAGGTAGTTGTTTGTTATTGTTCCCTGGCGAAAACTTTACTCCCGGGATCAGAACGACTGGTATTGACAGCATTCGTCCACAACTAATTACTTGCACAAGTGCTTCCGCAGTACAAAAAGTAACGTTAGTTCCACGTACATCAAGTCTACCCCACTGTATACATAGACAGCATAGTATGCACTATAGTATAGCAACCACGCGCGTGTGTGGGCGTGTGCGTGAGTGTGTGGTGTGTATGTGTATGTGTATGACAAAGGTCGTTACAATCATGCTCTTTTTTGCTTTCCCTTCGCTGCGCTGTAAACAGCAGGCAGGATCGGAAGCCAGAGACAATCGGTCTTCTTGCCGGACCTGCAAGTGAACTGCAGCGCAAAGCCAAAGGCATCCACCTTGGCTAAAATTAGCCTTGCCGCGGACATTGAAAACGAGGCGAAGCCTCCGCGCTAGCCAGCACGAAACTATCGTGGAAATTGCGTTTGACCAAGACCTGAGACCGTGTGGCTACCTATGTACCTACACAAATCTATACAATGCCATGTACAAATTAGAAATCTAAAGGACGAAAACCAAAGCACTATGCACAGCCCCATGACAAGAAGGAATGGCAATGACACAGATATCGCGTGCGATCCTGGCATGTTGCCTCATCGTGGAAATGACTTACATTTGTAGCATTTTCCAGTCACCGTGTCCTCACAGACTGTGAACAGGCCAATGTCGACAGCAGCGCTCAAACGCTCATCACTGCCCTGGCGCAAGACGGTACGATCGCGGACAAGCCACTTTGGCAAGGCTAAGCTCAACACTAACATTAGTACGGCCAACAGGCAGAAAAAGCCCGCAATGCGACTGCGTTGGATGGATGCTTTCGTTCGTGTACCTCCCGACAAGGTCACATCATCGGAATCACTGCGCGCGTCCGCACTTTGACCTCTGGCCCTACTGCCAGCAGCCTCCTCGTGGGTTCGCTCACCGAGCTGCATACTGTGCGTGGGACTGAGAGGTGGAGACGCGCTGATGGTGCGTTGACCGATCCACACACCTCCCAGCCTCGTCTGGCCAGCCGATAACTGACTCGAGACGTTGGACAGAGAATCAACACGTACAAACCTAGGCTGCTGATGATGGTGAAGATGCTTCTCTACCTGAGCCGAAGCTCCTTTGCCATCTTCCTCCTGGTCATGTTGAAAGAAATCATCCGAGTTACAATCCAGCAGCACATCCCGAGGCGGATGATGTGACCACCTTCGACTTGGATCGCACTTCCACTCGTGCTCCTGTAGAAAATGCTCGTTGCCAACGTCCGATTGAGCAGGCAAAACTGATCCACTGGCTGCCGACAATGCTCGCTCGGAGGTCACCATCCTGGCCGTGGAGGGTTGCGAATGTTTGGCCGCACGGAGCAGCGTTACTTCCCCGAGCGGGAAGCCTCCTTACAGCCTACGAATGCATTACAGAATTCTGTCCTGATTGGTGCCTGGCTGCGGAACTAGCCGATGAACGAACCTGAAGCGATTGTTTTCGCAAGCTGAATGCTACGTGAATCACTCTCCGCGGCTGTAGACCACAAGTAAATCGAGCTTGTTCAAACGCAATCTCCGATCTGTGCTTCAATCGCTTTCACCTTGCCGTCCAAAACAACTGCTTTCGCTTCTACTGCAAAAATCTGTGCGACGAAAACCTGACAACGCGGTAGCTAGGGTTGTTTCAGATTGTCACCTTCCACAAAGGTCGCGTCCGTGAAACCGACTGCGCGTGTATGGGTACGTCCAGGTCTAAGACTGAGCGTCGGGTGTTTAGCACTCAGTCTCGCGCGCACTCCCACATCAACGCTCGGGACAAAGATTGGCATGCATTGCTGCTGTTCTAGACTTTCACGCGTCGCCTTCATCGTGCGGCGGTAGGACGGGGAGAGAGGGCCTAGGGAGCACTAGGAGCAGTAACGGTTACTAGTCTACATGTACACAAGTCACCGATTACGCGAGGCGATAGCAAGCCTGGGTTTCTGCACTGCAGGCATGCATGCGTGTGCGTGTGTGAAGCATAGCTATCTTCATGTAGCTGGCTACCTGCGAAGTGACAGAGCCGCGGCGGACTGAGGTTTTCCTGTGCTGCTATGCGGTCTTCACGCTCACAGCGTCAGTAAATGCCTGGCATAATGCTCGTTTAGCTGGGCCATACAGCGCACCCAAGCCATGCAAGGTCATGTCCTGATGTAGCTGTGCTTAGCTGCAGCCGCTCTGTGCTATCGATCTTTTGATAGGGGACCGGTTGGCGAGGCGGTTGTGGCGGCACCCGGTGTCCCAGTGCCAAGGCATCGCACGCACGCACGCCATCGTGGTGGTGGAGCAAATTGCACATACACACACACACACACACACACACACACGCGCGCGCACGCCATCGCGACGAGCAAATTGCACACACGCACACGCGCAAACTAACACGCCCATGCATATACATACATGTACATGAGCACGCAAAATAACACGCCCATGTACACATCCGCGCGTACACATACCCACGCACGCACGCATGCCGGTACTTCGAAGTACATGAATGTGAAGTGGTTGGTGCATGGAAGAAGTATCCAAAATCAACGAAGAAAGCTTTCTTCGCTTACAGGTATAAAAAAACACATTTCAGCACGGAACATGCAGTACGGTGCCACAACAAACTGTGCCACAATGTCATAATATTTCCTATCGCCAGCTTTGTTGTTTACCTTCGTTTGCGTCATCCAATTTGTATTGGTAAAGATGTCAGTGAGTCAGGTGAAGAAAGTATACTGTACGGCACAACAGTAAAACCTGTAACTAAAGACCACCGTGATTAGCGAACAGCCTGGTACTACAGTAAAACCTGTAACTAAAGACCACCGTGACTAGCGACCAGCCTGGTACTACAGTAAAACCTGTGACTAAAATCCACCGTGACTAGCGACCAGCCTGGTACTACAGTAAAACCTGTAACTAAAGACCACCGTGACTAGCGACCGGCCTGGTACTACAGTAAAACCTGTAACTAAAGACCACCGTGACTAGCGACCAGCCTGGTACTACAGTTAAACCTGTAACTAAAGACCACCGTGACTAGCGACCAGCCTGGTACTACAGACTAGTGGGAGTAGTGCTGAGTCGGATAGCATTTTCTTCGGGTATCGGGTTCGGATAGTTTTCCACGGGTAACACGGGTACCCGATCGGGTAATGTTTTCATCGTAACACCACAAATTACTAGGGCTCAAACGATTAGTCCGATTAACCGGTTGCAGACCGGTTACGAAGAATTAACGGTTAACCGGTAAAGATAACGGTTACGCAGTAACTTTTCAGTCAATTTTTTCAAGTATCAGGTCGTTGCAAAGTGTGCACTTTCGCGGGCTGTCGCACGCGTACGCAATTTCTCGGCTGGCAACTGGGTCATATCTGGTCTCTTGGTGTGAGAGTATGTATGAATGAGCATGCAAGAGAATGTACAAGTGTGCGTTGTACTGAATAGTTTACATTTTTTGAATGAGTATAGTCAAATATACGGTTAAAAAAGAGTCCGCAGGATTGCCGTGGCTTATAGGTTATAACCGGTTAACCGACCGTTAGCTTAGCAGTTAACCGTCAGGGGTAAAACCGTGACCGTTTGAGCCCTACAAATTACACAATGCACCCCTTCCTTTACACACTGGGCAGACATGCGGAGTATTACATCAATTTGTACACGTGCACTGTACTTGATGTCTTCTGCGACTTCGGGTTTTCGGGTACAGTACTAGTATTAGAGAGGTTAAGTTTCACGTAAAAGTCTAGAGTGAGCGGCTTCAACGCGTAGTCGTGGGCGGAAATTGCTCGGAATACGTCGCATGCAGTCGAGGGGTGCCGCAAGGATCCGTCCTCGGCCCCCTCCTGTTCACACTATACATCCGTAACCTTCGATGCTGCTTGCCCCAGCAGGTCACAAACCAGGAATTTGCAGACGACATTGCAATTGAAGCCTCGGGCAGTTGCGAACAAGTGTGCTCTTCTCTAAGCACAGCCATCACTGGCCTGTCGCAGTGGTTGGAGGACCGCGGACTAATGCTGAACCAAAAGAAAACGCAAGCTCTGTTGATTACCCCAAGAGGCCCAGCCCCTGACACAGATAACATTCGAATTCGCTGTGGGAATGCAGCCCTTGCAGTTGTGGAACAAGCGCGGTACCTGGGCGTAATGGTAGATGGGCAGCTCTCCTGGGAGCCTCACGTCAATCACACAATCCAGCAGGTGCGGAAGTCAGTAGGTGCGCTGTGGCGGAGCCGCCGAAGCCTCACCCTGGCGTCAAAGATCCTGTTTTACAGGTCGATGATCGAGGGTAGGTTGTCGTACGCTTCCAACGCCTTTTATCCGTCACTTCAAATTGGCAACATGGAGCCCCTCACACGCCTAACGAAGTGCGCTATCCGCGGCTTCTTCGGTCTGCCACCGTGGTCGCGCACGAGCCCGATCTTTGAACAGCTCCGCCTCACCACCCTGGAGGACATGTTTAACATTAAGCTCCTCATCTTTGTCCGTCGTTGTCTGTTCTCCCGAGCTAGCTCCCTCTTCACCAGCTTCTTCGTGAGAGTTACTGGTGACCGCACTCGGGGAGCAGCACATCACCTCGTTCGAGTACCATTTTGGCCCGGACCTGCGGGTCGAGCGACCATGCAGTTCATCGGCGCAGTCCTGTGGAACCAGCTCCCGCCTGATCTCCGTTCCGAGCCCAGCCACCTTCAGTTCTGTGCCCTGCTAAAAGCGCATCATGGCTCCGTTTAAATGCTTTTCGGCTAGTGTGTTTCTGTGGTATAGCGGACTGAAGAATAGTAAACGTGTTTTGCAATAATATGTATGAAGCTATTTTGTATATAGTATGTTCCCATTCCGTTTTTGCTTTGGTGTAGCCCTGAGGTTGATTGCTTATTTATTTCTACCCTTCCTCTCTCCATACTTCTGTCCCCCCCCCTCTCTCTCATTCCTTCTGTCGTCCACATGTATCAAAGGAGGCGAAATCGCCTGTTTGTGGTGCGACGTTAAATAAACTTCTACAACAACAACAACAACAACAGTCTTACGTCCGTGAACTTTTACGTCAAAAAGTGAAAAAACTCACGTAAAATTTGACGTGTTTTACGTGAGTTGACTGTCCCGCACGTAAGTTCATGACGTGAGTTTTTGGAAGTTTCGCTTGGTTATCCCGACCGAATTTGTGTGAGTTTCCAGAATTTTATCGAGATTTATCGAGTTTGTTGGAAGATTTGATATTTGTGCGAACTAAACCCGAATCCTGCCAGGCAAAATTTCACGTCACGTCGCGCGTGTAACTTAGCCTCTAAAAATTACACGTAACGTGAGTACGTGTATTTTTAGAGGCTAAGTTACACGTGCGACGTGACGTGAAATTTTGCCTGGCAGGATTCGGGTTTAGTTCGCACAAATCTTCCAACAAACTCGATAAAACTCGATAAAATTCCGAATCTTCCAACAAACTCGATAAAACTCGATAAAATTCCGGAAACTCACACAAATTCGGTCGGAATAACCAAGCGAAACTTCCAAAAACTCACGTCATGAACTAATTACTTACGTGCGGGACAGTCAACTCACGTAAAACACGTCAAATTTTACGTGAGTTTTTTCTAGGGGTGAAACGGTTACCCTTCAAGGAAACAAACGGGTATCTGGCTTAATGTAAACTCATATTGAGTGCTACGTCAGTTGAAAGAACATGAATAGCTGCAAATTCTCTGAAAATTGTGTCCCGATCTGACCGGCCGTTCAAGAGTTATGGCCGAAAATGTGCCCTTGCAAGGAAAGATTTTTTTGTTGCACGCTGTCATTTGTTGGCAGCACTGTATTTGAATGTGAGCAGACCGTGCGCAACTTGTCGTATCATGGAAACACGTGAAAGTGTGCAGAATTTTGCTCCAAGTTCAAAAAATCAGGATTTTGAGCCACGTATTGGGCTGCACGGCGGCGGGCGAAGCCCGCCGCCGTGCAGCAGGACTTTTGCCAGCACCCTCGTGACGTTGCAGATCGATATGTGGCTTGATTATTGCAGTTGACGTTGATTTAGTGACTTTGGCAAGTTTGAGTCGTGTCAAGAAGTCAGGTAGGATTCAGTACTAGGCAGTAGTGAAACGTGAGTGGTAGTCTTTGCCGGTTTCTGAGGGTATCCTGGATTTGGTGTGCAGCGCTGTGGAAATGGCTTGCTGTGGAGGTCCCAGCACTGGATGTTGTATCAAAGGTACGACCTCGTAGCACGTGCTAAACCTAAAAAAATTCAAAAATTGACTTGGGTCGGTGGGAGTGTGTGAGAGAACACCCACTCGTTCCGTTGTGACAGATTCCAGGGCCTCGTTGAGGGGCCCTACCCCATCACCCATGGCTGCTTCTGGACTTGTTCTAGGTTTGAGTCCCGCGCACGAACAGAATGAGCACGAAAATGTGAAAAAAATTGTAAATGCATTTGTTTGGCTCCTGGGTGGCTCGCACACCGTGGCACTATGCCGGAAATTTGAGTTTTTCCGGCCTGGAAAGCCTGTCAGTGAGGCGCAAGAACTTGTAAATCATGTCCTGAGGGCCAGCATAGTGGCAGGAGTGTGTGGTCAAAATTTCACTCAAATCCATTGAGAAACACCAAAGTTACGGTCAATTGAATGCCATATGAAATTTATGGGTAGGCTGCCCCCTTAAAGGGGAAGTTAAGGCAAAAATTAAAATTTCACCAGTTGTAGTCTTCGGGGTGCTGAGTCGAATGGTCGTGGTCCGAGGAAGCTGAGACGCTCCCTTCCTCCTTGAATCCCAATCGAACTCGCGCACTTCCACCGAAACTGGGTGACTGCGCCCTACTAGATGGGGATTTGTATGCAA